GGTGTTGGGTTTCAGGTGTTGGGTTTCAGGTGTTGGGTTTCAGGTGTTGGATTTCAGGTGTTGGTTTTCAGGTGTTGGTTTTCAGGTGTTGGTTTTCAGGTGTTGGTTTTCAGGTGTTGGGTTTCAGGTGTTGGATTTCAGTGTTGGATTTCAGGTGTTGGGTTTCAGGTGTTGGATTTCAGGTGTTGGGTTTCAGTGTTGGGTTTCAGGTGTTGGGTTTCAGGTGTTGGATTTCAGGCCGTGCTGAGCCCCTCCTTCTCCCTGCAGCCATTGCTGGGAGCGGAAGGTGCTGGCTGTGCCTGGAGCCGGCAGTGAGGGCTGAGGGGGCTCAGTGTGGGCGAGATGTGGCAGCCGTGGCCTGGCCCAGCCTGGGCCCGGGACCCCCCGGCCTCCATCCCCTGCCCGGGAGCCACTGGGCTCCGGCCTGGCCTCCCCCCCCAGCCCAGGCCGCAGGGGAGCCGGGCCAGCCCCACCAGAGCTCTGCTGCCTTTCCAGCCTGGAATCAAACAGGGAGATTTCCCGGGTTTGTGGCTTTTAAAAGGTGGATCTCACGGAGGCAGATCTAATTTCTAAATGGTGCAAAACGTTGTCAGTTCTCAGAACTAGCCAGCTATTCCTAGGCACAGAGGAAGCTCCCAGTAGCTTCTCTTAAAGAAATCACTTCTGTGGGTGGTTTCCTACTTTTTTCCCCAAATGTCAATCAATGCAAAACCAGCACAGTAGGGTTTATATCATGCTGTCTGTGGCCTCAGCTGTGCTGCCATTAGTTTTCTGGCTAAGTTACACCCATAGCTACTTGCCATTTGCAGCGTAAGGGAATTTGAATCCTGCTCAGATGTGTCACAAAAAACAGCAAATAAACTCTCCAACCAATTTGCTGGGTTAGAAAGCTGACTTTATTAACAGTGCTGGATGCGTGGATTCTTCTCAAATCATGCAGAAACTTCTTAAAGTAACATAGCTCAGGTAGCGGATATATGCTGCATCAGAATTGATTCCTTCAGTTTGTAGCACTGGGTTTGGAGAGGTGGGAGGTTTGTGTGGGCTTTGTTTGTTTGTTTGTTCTTCATGGGGATTTTTTTGTGGTTTTTTTGGTTGGTTGGTTGGTTTTGTGTGCATGTGTTTAAATTGTGATAGGGAGTTACACTGATTATTTGAAGAAAGAAGGGAAAAAAGATACCAGGAAACCTGTGTGTTTAATGCTGTTGCATTGTGTGACTCTGAATTTCTTCTCCAGAGCCAAATTTTGAGTATCACTGCTTCCACACTATGCTTTCCATGTTTTTGCTAGTGCAGAGGAAGAGATGATAGTATTTTTGTATGTCTCTGGCCTATAAAACATTGGCTGCCACAAAAGCAAAATAGTCTTTCAAAGGTACTATTCATTTTGCTCAGTAAAACAGCTATGACCACTGCTGAGCCAAACCCAAGGGTTACACCTTAATAAGGTCTATGTTTTATTGTTCTTATCTCTCTCTACCAGATTAAAAGATTTTCAGGAAATGCCTAGGGTCAGTTGAATCTACTGAAAATTAGCCTCAACAAGAATAACCACCAAAAATACCCTTACCTGTAGAGACATGCTATAGGATATTATGTATTAGCATGGCTATTTTAGTAACAAAGGAGCCATTTAGCAGCTCCACCAGACCTCTGGCCAAGCTTGGAACCTTCTGGTAGAATGCACAGTGTCAATGCAAAGCCATTAGACAAGCCAGAAACCTGACCTATACAAAAAGCAAGTTGTGTTTGTGATTAGTGTACTTCTTGCTGGTTATTTTTTTTGTTACTTCATATTTTCACTAAACAGTCTTTTCCTTATTTATAGTCAGTTTTGTGATTAGTGTTTTGTGCCTTGAGTTACAGATGCTGTATTTAGTGGGCTACTTAAAAAAAAAAAAAAAAAAAGATGTTTTATAATATTAAAATAACCCAAACCCACACAAAATTTTTGGTTGGTCTTAAGTATCTTCAGGAAATGTAAATTTTATTTGTAATTGAATTAACAAATTGTATCTTTTTAGTTGATTATAAATAGTTGTGTCAGTGATTTCAATAGCATATCTTGGTATGTTAAGTAATTTTCCTTAAATCCTGCATTTAAAGAAAAATTTAATTTCTGACATAGGAATAAAAATGGAGTTGATCAAAATGATAAAGGTAAAAATACCCAAAATTGTGTAGTATTGATTCTGGGCTCTTATGTTGCTAAAAACGGATAATATCGATGAGAATAATGAAAACATTAGTTGCAGCTTCAGAAAATATGAATTTTTAGTGCTGCCATCCCTTCAGTAGCAGCTCAGTGAGAGCACAAGCAATGCATGGTGTGCTCAACAGCTTCACGTGTAAACCACTTGGTGGTAGTGGTGGCCAGCGAACTGGGAGTGCCTTCCTGTTCTTCCCCAGCCTGCTTGAGAGGCTTCTGGGATTTTCTTCAGCATTTGCATAAGCAGACAGTGAAATCCTACTGCAGGAAGGATCATCTGCCTGTCTACGTCATCATGGTACCCTTTTGCTGGATTGTCTTGCTGTTCTGCACTGCTAGTGAAGGTTATGCTCAGACTTCTGTGTGCAGGAGGAAATATGAGCCTATGGAAATTGTCTTACATGTAGTCTTGCATGTATAATGTTGGTGTGTAGAGAAACAAACTAAAAGGTTACAAAGAACAAAATTCGCTATGTAATTTAAAATTATTTTTCACTTATAGTAAGCATTTCCAGAAGCACTTGCTGATGTTCTACACCATTGTGGGTTACTCCAAGTAATTAATTTATAAATGGAAAATACACCTGTAAGAGAATAATGAGAAGGAAAATAACTAAAACTGCTTTGTAGCTCATGTGTCTGCTCATGTAAGAGTCTCATCAGACAGTATTTATGAGTACATGAACAACATTGGGGCTGAATTTCTACTTGCTGGGCCAGACAGAATGAAATACCTGAGCACAGAGAAGCTGTATCCCTGTATCCCTGGAAGTGCCCAAGGCCAGGCTGGACAGGGCTTGGAACAGCCTGGGACAGTGGAAGGTGTCCCTGGCCATGGCAGGGTGGGACTGGATGGGCTTAAAGGTCACTTCTACCCCAAACCATTCTGGGACTGTGGATTCTCCAACGATATAGTGAGTAATAAATAATGATAACAGCAGCCCGCTGGTTTTCTTGCTGTTCTTAACAGCTTTTTGGTGATTCTTCCCTGCATTTCAGAAGCAAATGGGAGGCAGCATAAGTTCACTAAGTTCAGATGTCTGCTCACCTGAGAAGGCCTTCATCTTGCAGTCTCATGAGTTGTACCTCTTGCTGGGATATATTCCATTTTTCCGTCAAAATTTTAATATTGGAGGAAACTGTCATGATTTAGAGAGTTAAATGCAGTAGAGTAAAAGCAAGCAGTCAAAGCAGCCTGGTGTGAAAGAAGTAGATCCTTGCTCTGAACAGATTTTATGTGAGTGTATTATTCAAGCTCATTAGTATCAAGAAGCTGAAGTGAAGGCAGCTCTGTGTTATCACCCCTTTTAAAAGGCATCAGCAGTAAATAAAGTAGCTTGTGTAATAAAGGACACAGTTGCAAAGTGACTTAAATTTATCCACAGTGGACAGTGTGAGTTACAGTGCATGTCCTTGTTTGTTACAAAAGCCCCTCTGTTCAGATGATGTGTTAAGAGCATGTGGTAAGGTCACCTGAACCATCCCTGGGTGGGATGAGGGCACTTCCAGTGCAGGATGGTCTCCTCGTTTTCACAGGAATGGAAACAAGTTTTTTTAAAATTCTTTTTCAGTGTCAGCAGTTAAATAACATATTATTGAAAAAGTCTTTCTTCTAAAATAGCTCACTGGAATTTGCCAAGTAATAAAGACTTTTTCATATTTATTGTCTTTTCTGCAACTACAACAACAATGTTTCAAACTCATGTTCTCACTGTATTCTGACAATATTGTTGAGAAATACTGTGAAATATTGCTGGCATTCATCAAACACTTAAAGACATCTTTATACAGTGCCTTGTGTTTTTGTGATCTGCACATTGTGTTGGCAAGTTAATCACAGAATCATGGAATGGTTTGGGATGAAAGGGACCCTAAAAATCATCTCATTCCAACCCCCACTGTGAGCAGAGACACTTTCCACTGGATGAGGTTGCTCAGAGCTGAATCAAACCTGGCCTTGAACACCTCCAGGCATGGGAAGTCCAGTTTATGCTGGATCCAGTAATGATATTCTGTTTACCAGGAAATGGTCCAATAGTGTTTGCTTAGTGACTTTAGGTACCAGCTTGGATTTAGAGGCTAACCTTATCTGGCCACGTAAACAGCAGATAGTGCAGATCTTTCTGGTGTGGGTGTCCCTGCCTTCCTGAGGAGTTTTATGCTTCATCTTGGGCTGGGAGGGAGCCTAAGAAAACTCCTAAATTAAGCATTTGAAGTTGGGTGGCACAGAGTCCACTCCCAATACCATTCATTTCTTCATTCAAGCCATTTTCTCCAAAATCTTCACATCTCCTTCCCACCAAGGGAGGAAAGTTTACAACACACTCACAAAGTCAACATGTACCTTGAAAAAGAAGGAGGTGAGTGCTGGAAGGGAAGCTTTTTCTTGAGGCCGTTCCTCCATCTCCTCACTGACAGGGAGAGGAGATTGTTCCGTGGCAGTAAGGACATGAGTGGGCAGAGAGGGGCTGAGGCCACATAATGTCCCCCCAAGACCCCTGATGGTTGAGCGAGCCTCCCTCCAGCTGAGACAAGCAGCAGAGTCATGCAAATTCTTTCCTAGAATGGTGTGAACCCCATCTTTGTCAGTGGAACTCCATGAACAATTTTGTCATTTTCTAATTATTATTTTTTAATCACGTACTTGTACTTTTAATTTCAGAGTGATTCCTCTAGGAAATCTTCCAAATCCAAGCGAGACAAAGAGAAACAGTCTTGTAAGAGCTGCAGTGAGAGCTTTAACTCCATCACGAAGAGGCGGCACCACTGTAAGCAGTGTGGGGCAGTAAGTATCCCAGCACGCTCAGCTCTTGGGATTCTTCTGCAGAGACCATTGAAGACAATTTTTTATTTTTTCAGTGCAGAGACTAATAGGCATTGTGGTTCATGGCAAGACATCAGAGCAGGTTTTTCCACTTGCTTTACTCTCTCAGTATCAGGGGGGAAAAGAGCAAAACTGGTGCAAGGGTCTTAGTTTGTGTTGGTTTAAAGACAAATTCAGTGCCTCAGTGGATAGAAAGAAAGGTGGTGCTTTTCCTGGGGCTGGGTGTGTATCTGGGGTTGTAACTTGTTTGCAGAAGCAATGGGCTTCAGACAGCCTCACTTCACCCAGACAGCAGCTCTTCTAAAATAAACAGCTGAGCATACAATATTAAAGATGGTATTGAGCTATTAGAGCATCCAAAGGAGGGCAATGAAGATGGCAAAGCCAGGTGAGGAGCAGCTGAGGGCACTTCTCTTCAGCCTGGAGGAGAGGAGACTGAAGAGAGACTTGCTGGGGTCAACAGTTTCCTCTGAGAGGAAGAGGAGGGGCAGACTCTGATCTCTTTCTGTGATCTCTTTCTAGGAACTGAGGGAATGGCCTGAAGTTGTTTCAGGGGAGGTTTAGGTTGGATATTAGAAAGAGGTTCTTCCCCCAGCGAGTGGTCAGGCAGTGGAGCAGGCTCCCCAGGGAAGCAGTCACAGCACCAAACGTGCCAGAGCTCCAGGAGAGTCTGGACAACACTCTCAGGCACAGGTTGTGACACTTGGGGATGCCCTGTGTGCAGCCAGGAGCTGGACTTGGTGATCCTTGTGGGTTCCTTCCCACTCAGCATACTCGGTGATTCTGCATTTCTTTCCCTAAGTAAAGACTCTGCAAAAGTGGCTTCCTCCTGCTCTCCTGCTTGAAAAACCAAAGCAAATCTCTTCCAGAGAGGCAAGGCTGAGTTACTGAAGGCCCTCAGCCACCTCCTCTAGAGCCATTTATTGATGGCTGAATTCACTTTTTTTTTTTTTCCCTGTAAATCATAACCATGGCCAAGATGAGATGGATTTCTGCAAGATGACTTGAAACCTCATTCAGTGTTCCTAATGTAACTAAGAGAAATGTTATTTAAATAACTGTAGTAATTTGAAGTAGAGATAAATTTTCAGCTGCAGAGAGATCTAAATGTATAGTTAAGATATTTAAAGAAACCTCAACCTCAGCAATTGAAATTAAATTGCTCTGGAGGAGGCATTTTTACCCTAGAGTTGGGATTTTCAACCTTCTGGGTTCATTTTTATTAATAATTGCTTAAATAATGAAATACATTTCTGGGTGTTTAAAATAACCCCTTGCAAAGACAGTGTTACTAAAGAAATTAAATAATGGCTTTCCCCCAGGAACAGGGAGATAACAAGAATTATATCATTAATAATTTATTGTTAAACCATTGTTTGTTGTGTAATGCCTTGTGGTGTGGCAATAGCATTCAAATTAAAGAAGTTATTTTGTCTCAATGAATGACTATCATGTTGCTAAAAATGCTGTCTTGCCTTTGTTTGGGTAACATTTCCTGAATTAAGGCAGTTCTTTTCATATAGTAATTAAAGTCTTACATTGAAGCATGTAACAACATATATGTGTTCTGCAGGTTTGTGGTTATTATTGTAAGGAAATTCAGAATGGATGTCCAGCAGGCTGACACCCTGGAGACAGTTTCTCTCCCTGGAGCAGGTGTATTAGAGACAAGTTTTTAGCATGAAAGCAGGATCTGGAGCTGCAGATCCAGCATTGTCTCCAAGCACTGGTTCCTCAGGCCCAATGTGCCACTGCATGCTCTTGGCAGCTGAGGCACACAGACAATTTTAATGGATAATATACTGGACTATGTTCTTAAAATAGTTGGTGCTTTCCAGATTCCTCAGTTCTCCAGGGTGTCCTTGATTGATGAGAGATGTCAGCCACGTTCACTCTGAAAGTCAGTCCTTCTTAGACCATTAAAAAGCACTAATTGCTTTGTAAACGTAAGCTCTTTTTGTCTTATAAGAAAAGACAAGAAAAGCAAACTTGCATGATGTTAGTCATACAGTATTTCCCCAAAGACATTAGTTTTCTTTAATTTGGTATTCTGGTATATGGCATAGGATCACAAACATGTTAATTATTAATGGAGGTAGATATACTGAATATTATATCGGTCTCTCTATCTTAAGTTTACATTAGCTTTCATAGAATTTTGTTTTACTAACAACCACTCTGCAAGTCAATTTCTCTTATAAAGGGCTGTGTTTTAAACATGGCTAATTAAGCACCATCTGTCTGTTACAGGTGATCTGTGCAAAATGCTCCGAGTTTAAGCCACTTGCAGATAACAGCCGCCACAATCGAGTGTGTAAAGAGTGTTTCCTGCAGCTCCCAGCAAGCCCCTGCAGCCCTGGGGTGGAAGCAGTTGGGGAGCAGAAGAAAAGACTAGCTGCAGAGGTACAGTCTTTGCCTAAGAAACTTCGTGTGGCTCTCTTTTTTTAGTGTATTTATTAAAAACTAATGAAATAGGTTTTCTTTTCTGCCTCACCATGATACTTAATCCTCTGACCTGTAACTCTCATTGAACACACCTGCAGCCTGGATGCTGATGGTAGATGGTGAGCGTTCATCATAGGATGCTGGTCACACAGGGACGCACACAGGTTTGGCAGCTAAGCTTCAGCTTCCAAAGTCACAAAAAAGAAGGAAAACCCTCTGACTACTTTCTATTATGGTGTATTTCCAATCTTGAGCTGTGCACAGTAACTGTTCAAAAAATAAGATCTGTTTTTTCACTTTTAATTCCATGTAGCAACTCTCTTGCTTGGGGGTTTTGTCAGTTTTGTACCCAAACACATCCAAGATCTCGGCAATAGAATGGGGTAAAGCTGCAGGTCTACCTTGCTCTGCCCTGAGCTGCCAGGTCTGCAGAGTGCAGAGAAAGTTCTGGAGCTGGAACCTGACCCCATCAAAACCTTCAGATCTGGTATACATGTGGAATGGTATGGAATATAGCTATTCCCCTCTGTGGCAGGGGGTTGGAATGAGATGGTTTTTACAGTCCCTTCTGACCCAAGCCATTTTGTGATTCTGTGATATATGTACTCCAGCTGTGCCTACAGATTATGAGCTCTTCATGGGTGCCAGTGCAGTCTGTGGTATCTCATGACAAACTTTGCAGCACTCTTTCCATAGGAAAAGTTTCAGGGGCAAACCTGCACCTACACAAGGAAGAGAGGGCCCTGTTAATCTGAAAAGCTGAGAGGCAAACCAGTGAAATGGAACCCATGGCTTTACTTCAGGAAGCAGATTACAGCAAAAAGCTGTAAAAACTCAAGGAAAAGTGTGTCATTTTCCCATCCTCTACTCAGGCTGCTCGTTTTTTTTTTGTTAAATCTTGAAAGGATGAGATAAAATGCAAGAAAGCCAGTGTATAGAAAGAAAATATCAGAGTCAGGCTTTTTCTTTCCCTTCTATTTACATTAAACTTTCTTAACAAGCTTAGTAGCAGCTGAGGAGACTGCCACTTAAATGTTATTAGCAGCTGCCAGAAATCTTCAGGAGACTTCCGTGCAAATCCTAATGCAAACAGGAATTTTGATTTTCTTTGCTTTCTATCAGTACACAACAATTTCTTCCCTTTTTTATGCTCTGATTTGGCTCCATCCATGCACAAGAGGATCTGTTAATAAACCCTTAGCATTAATTTGAAGTAATCTCCCAGCCTACTTTGCTAAGCAAGAAATAAGCTGCATCATCTTAATTACCATTCTCAATTTACTGGGTGGAAGTTGAATTTAGCTTCATGTCTGCTGGGAATGGTGGTTCTGCCTCTGTCACATGGAATTATGCTATTTCTTAATTGTATGCAATAATTACTAATTTTTATTTAGTTATGGCCTATCCAACATTTGCCCTCGAGTTATTTGACTCTGCACCACTTGAGTATTTTATATTTAATTCTAAGTATTTTGCACACTTAAACATAAATGGAAACAACTCTGTTTTGTTTTTTTCCCCCTCATCCAGAAGCAAAGCATCCTTGCGGCTGAAAACAGCCTCTTCAGCAGCTACCTCCAGTTCCTTGAGAAAGGGAAGACTTGGTACAAAGTGTGGGTGACCATCCCCAGGAATGAGCCTCTTGTTCTGTATCTGCAAGGCAGCAGCCAGGTAAGATGGCATTCACAAGGGTTAACACACAGGAAAAGAAAAGCCTAAATTTAAATATGTTGAGCTGAGAAATGGGTCAAAGGATTTGGCTTGGTTTCAACAACAGAACTGAATTTGCTATTCTGGATCTGGCACAAAGCCTCAGAGATTTTAGGTTACCTTGTTACCTGTACTTACTGCTGATACAGCTGTGGACAAATGTTAAAGCTCGTTGCTTTTCCATTCAAATATTTAACCAAAAAAACAGGATAAACCAAGAATAATTAGATTATGCTTTAACTTTTTTAAGGTTTCAGACAGGTGTAGTCAAGGGTTTTATTACTCTCTCATTAGGGAAAGCACTTTCCTCTTAAATATATAGAATTCCAAAGGAGGCTGGATATTGCAATTGCTGGAATTGCTGGTTCAAGCTGCTTGCTTTTTTTTTTTTTTTTTTTAAACAAACAAACAAACAAACTAGTTCTGGGTTGATGGGATAGAGGAATTTGTGAAAATGTAGATGTTCTTCAGCCTGAAAAATTATGAAGCTCCTTGTCATAGCATCATAGAGTTTTATCTTTGCTTGAAGTACTTACATTGATAAGAGCTTTTTGTCTCAAAATGTACTGTTGAAATTAGCTAGCATTTGTGTGGGATGAAAGTCAAGGGATAGAAACATCTATATCCAAACTAGAAATATCTGTCATGCTTCCTTAGCATTGAAGAACAACAGTGCTGAAAGGAGATTCCCCATATCCAGTTTTGCATTTGGCATTTGACACATTTATACAGAGCTTTGTTTTATCTCCTGTGTGAAGGAGGAATGGAACTGAATTCAGCCAGCCATTACCCTGCTGTAGTTGTAGTGATAAGAAGGTTTTCTTTTTATTAGCATCTGTTGGTGGCTAGGAACAGTCAAGGAAATCAATTTTCCCTGTGATTTTATAAAGCATTTCAGAGTAAAGCTCACCCTGTATCTGATCAACAAATACTACACCTTGTTATTAGAGTTGTGTTCATTTTGCAGCCTGTCACCAGAAGCACCTTTGGCTTTAAACAAGTTTGTCTAATGTTTTAAACATAGTGCTCAAAGAGGCTGAAAGCTTGAATTTGGAGCTTCAGCCCCCTTGGCTGTCTCTGTGTTTCCAGCCCCACACTGGGTAAGGCTCCAGCTCATCCTGCAGGCAGTGAGCTGCCTGCTTTCCCTCCTAGCCAGCAGGACATGAAATGACACATTGGAAAAGCAAACAGCCTCAGACAAGGCACTGAAACAAAGGCAACAAATCCAGTCTTTGGCTCTCTCTGGAGTCAGGGTCTGGGGAAAGGAGCAGTGCCTTAAAAAGCCAAGCAGAGAGAACAGCTTCACCCGCAGAACTTCTCAACTGATGCACAAGCTGTGCCTCAGCCAAGGGCCAGTGCAAGCCCTGCATCCACACAAACCAAGCCAGATTGTCTCACACTTGGGCAAGGAGAGTGGGAAGAGAGAGAAGTTTAAATTCTTTGGCCTTCTGTTGAAGTCTGAGGCACAGAAAATAGGCCTTTATTTGTGATGCTTGGCTCTGACACCCGGGAGAGCACTGAACTTAGCCTAAAACTCTAGAGACAGCTTTTAAAATTAAGAAACTAATAATGTGAGTGTGTAAGTTAGAGATCTCTTAAATCACTAGGTAAAAAAGTTAGAGTTTGGAGTTTTAGTTATATTAATAAGTAAATCTAAGATGAAGACTTTCGGACATTGTCTCTTTCTCCTTCTTGTCCTTCTTCTTTCCCCTTCTTCTTTGGGTTTTTAAGTAATAATAAGTGATTGAATGAAAAAATCTGCAGTGCAGCACACAGGTGTCAAGACATTAAGCCACTAAAAAAAATAACTTATTTAACATTTGATTATTAGATAAATAGACACATAAAAGACCTAAAAGAGATTCTTTGTTCTCCATTTTGCACCTTTCTTTCTTAGTGTATGTAGCTCCTTGTACTCTCTATATACATAATATAGATAAAAAACAATTAACAGCTGAGCCCAAACAGAAGAAAACAGCCTCTCTCTTGTCAATCTCAGTCCCAGGGAAAAAGACCCCAACCACCAGTGTCACCACAACAACCTTCCTCAGAAACAATGTGTGTCATCTAAGAGTTGGCAGGCTGAGAAGTTGAGAGCACCCCTTACACAGTATGATTGAGAATTTCTCCTACTACCCAACTGATTGTTGCAGTACAGCACCAATAATAATCCATGGACATAAATCACCTGTGTTCAGTGCAAACTCAATGATGCTTGATTTTGCAGGCCCCACCTGACAGTCATGCAAAGCCACAGATGGAAGCTGGAGGAGCTCCTCTGCTTCAGTTGCTGTGTACTTTGTCCATGTCCTGCCAAATTGGATCTTGAGCCTCTGGTGATATTATTAGTAAGATCCTATTCTTTTAGGGGAAAAGGCTGCCTTTGGCGCTGATAGTCAATTCTGTGACAGTTAAATTTAGTGGTTAGTGTCCTCACCTATTTCAGGGGTGAGATAAATCTCTCAATAAAGTGTCAAGAAAGCAAAAGGACAAGGTTATTTATCTTACATTCCAAAACCATGATTTACTGTCTGGAATGAGACTACAAACAACAACAGTTCTTCCTTTTTTCAAGGGCTTGCCATTCTCATTTGTATACTTCAATTTGCATCCAACCTTTTGCAGAACAAAATTTAGGAAACAAGTCCTATTTCTTAATCCAACGTTCTTGTTAATTCTGGTTTACATAGGATACACTACAATTCTGAAGAAAATCTCTTCCAGAGCTTCATTATTGGTGTCTGAATGTCTGGAATCAGTTGGGAGCCACTCATGTGCTTAAATATTCTTTCCCCAGGCATAGCTCTGTTTTGCACAGCCACTCTGTAGATGTCACAGACCTCTTTAAACCTGCAAAGAAGCATTTCAGTGCCTGAGATATGTCTTTTGGGAATAATATTGCCAACAACAGTATTAAAGGTCTTGAAACAGAGTAAAGTAGAAGTTTGAAAGTTGGGGGATTATTGTAGAGGAACAGAAAGAATGGCTGCCTCTTGGGGGGAAAGAGCAAACCAAGCTGAATCTGGAGCTTTGGATACAGTGAAAGCTTCTTCCTCTGCACCCCTGGTCCACACACAAGAGAAGGGATGCTAGTGCAGGTAGAAACATGACTCACAGACTTAAAATAGCAAGAAATCTGCTCTTTTGCTTTAGAATGAATTAATCCCCTGAGTGTTCACAGTTCAAGTCTTGTATGAGGCTTTACAGATGAGGATTCCCAGCTTGTTTAGGTTTGGGAATCACACCAGTTTGATTTGTCCTCAAATGGAGTCACAATTTGTACAGCTGTTGTCATGTTTATCTCAGTGAAATTGAAAGAGTTTACTTATAAAGCAAAGACCACTTCAAGTGTAAGGAGCAGCAGCTTTAAGATAAATTAGTTTTGTCTTTTCAAGGGCTCCACCTGGACCTTCTGCCCTTGTTGGCCTTGTAAAATGCATAGCTACTTGCAAAGCTCTGACATGAACTTACCTGAGATGTACAAAGTTAAGGCTTCCAAGCTAGCTGGAAGAGTAATGGATTTTGGAGGAATACAAAGGGTAAAACTAGTATAGCTAGAGCTAGTATATTTATATATATATCAGATCAAGCCTGATCCAAGAGAAAATTTTGATTTATAAAGAAGAAAAATCTTCCATTCATCATGTAAATGTGATTTACTTTTAGTAAATAAGGGAGTAGCTGAGTTTGAAATTGAGCTCAGTGTTTTTGAGAAGTTTTTTGGGGTTTTGTTTTTTTTTTTGCTTGCCTGTTGATCCTGCAGCCCTGCACAAAACTCTGCCTGCCCTTTTTTGGTCCTGAAGATCTTTGCCACACAGGAGTTTCTCAATGACTTGTGTAATGTTGGGGTTATATCATGAGTGGATAAAGAGTGGAGTTTGGGTAGAAAAAACCAGGGATTTTCTAAGCCCACTCAGAATTAGGAGGGGGGAAATGCCACTGGTGGGTCACTGTTGTCTGAGAGAGTTTATACACTGCAAAGAGCTGTAGTGCAAGAGGCATGTCTGTATGCAGGGGTGCCTGAAACAGAACTGCCTGTGTGGTGGAACTGAGTTGTCTGCTCCCAAATCTTAAAGCCTGGGTGTTGCAGTGGCTGTAACAGATCAATAAATACATGGTGCTGTAATGACCTAGATAAATAACTCATTTCTGTTGTGCTGCTGAGAGTCAGGATGAGTGCACAGTGCTTTTGATTGCTGACAGTATTACACATCCACTGGATTTTTATCTCTCACTCACTATCTGAGGAAAATTATTGTAATCAGCCCTGAGGTGAAGTTCTTTCAGCACAGGGTATTTTGGTTTGATGAGATACCAGTATCATGCAGTTATACTACGTTACATGCAAAATTATTTTAAAAATACAGTCCAACCAGCCAAATCTGGTAGGCTCTTAAAACTAAAACATGACTTTCATCTCTCTTGTAAGGCCTGTAAATCCTACTTACATGCTCAGTATAGGGCTGGAATCCCTCATGGGTGCACCTGGATTTGCTGGGCTTCAGGTAGGAGGGAAGGGCTCAGGGGCAAAGGACATTCACAGATGCTACTGCTCCCAAAGAAAAGTATGGATTGGGGGTGGGGTATTCCTCAAGGCCAAGTGTTTCACCTTTACCTGTCAGTAGTACAGCTTTTCAGAGATAATGTAAATCCCTTCCTTTTGGATCAGGCAGGTACAGACAAAGTACCAAAGGCAGCATATTAAGGGAGGATGCAAGACCAAAGGCAGACTGCTTAATTTGCCTGTGTCTGCACATTTTGGGTAGGTGCAACACATACAACTCAAACATCAATTTGCTCTTACAGTGCACTTTGTGGCTACAAACAGCATCATTTGTCATTGTCATGGCAACCTACAATTTTCCATTTGACAAATCTAAATGTCTACTCTTCCAAACCAAGATCAGTGAAGCAGGCATGGTTGAGCTTGCATGTGCTCTTGTGTGTTTGTGTTCATCAGTCCCACATTTGCTTGCTTGAGCAGTGCCATGTGTGCAGGAGCTGCTCTGTACATGCCACTTCTTCTGCATGGGCAAGACCTTCCTGTTTATAGGGATGTGGCTGTGGTGTCAGGGAATAGAAACTGTGCTGCATTTAGAACAGCTAGTTACACTCAAGTGGGAACTGAGTGTAACTTTAGTGTTTGGCCTAAAGCTGCCTTAAATGTCACTGAATAGTGCTTGGTCTTCAAGCAGTTGGACTCTGGCATTTTTGCAGGACAATAACAAGCAATAGACGAATAAATCAAGAAGGCTGTATTGATTTAATAAACTGTGATACATTTTTGACTGTATTTCTTGCCCATATAGTTAATGTATGTGTTTGAATTGATATGAGTATTTTTGATACTTGAATTACTTTAGACAAAGTGTTGGAAAAGGAGGCACATTTTTTGGCCATTGTTCTCAGAGTTTTGGTCCTCTTTCAGATTTACCAAGTCATCTGCATTTGGTGTGGGGGCTCAAAAAAGAATGACTTTGCCACTTCTCTGTGGGATGATTTGTTAGCTTTGGTATGGGGCTGCAACACAAGCAGCTGCTACAGAAGGTGACAGCTTTGTACAGATGCTTGGTGCCTGTGTGATTCAGACTTCAGTTTGGGGACTCATCTTTAGAAACAGTTTGCTGGGAACAGGTAAAGAGGTTGCTTGACCATGGCACACCCTGCCTTGCTGAAATATGTTTTCCTTGAGAGCTTAGGAGAGGAGTTGGTTGATGCTCAAGATGTGGCTGTTAGAGAGCTGTATATTGCTCCTTAGATCTGTGAGTCAAGCTGGCTTTTAAAGGATGGTCAAGAATTTAAGCACTAGCTTCCTTGACAACTCTCAAAGGCATCATAAATGACTGAAAATCAAAAATTGTCTTTTCTTTCAAAGACTTTTCCCTTGCTCTTTAGTTGCCTTGGTGTCTCTCAGGGTCCAGCTTTGCTTATTTGCTTCCTTTTAACCAATGCTACAAAATACCCAGTGATGTTCAAAAGGGACAACACCAAAACTCTTCTCTGCTGGATCTCATTGCCTGTACTTAATGCAGAGGAAATTTTCTAAAAGACACGTGCATAAGTTACATGAAATGATATTAAAATCCCTGGCCATGTTTACTGTGAAAGGAAACCAGTGGAGTAAGAATCAAGCACAAGAATAAAGTCATTGCTTTTTGCTGGTTGAAGCTGAGCAGTCGGTACTGCCTCGTGCCCGCTGAGCAAGGAGTCTGTGTGCTTCCTGCAGTGTGTGCCTGCTGGCCCCATGCCGTGTACCCACCCCTCCTGCCCCAAACTGCACCTCAGAGCTCTCACATGCCATGTACCCACCCCTCCTGCCCCAAACTGCACCTCAGAGCTCTCACATGCCATGTACCCACCCCTCCTGCCCCAAACTGCACCTCAGAGCTCTCACATGCCATGTACCCACCCCTCCTGCCCCAAACTGCACCTCAGAGCTCTCACATGCCATGTACCCACCCCTCCTGCCCCAAACTGCACCTCAGAGCTCTCACATGCCATGTACCCACCCCTCCTGCCCCAAACTGCACCTCAGAGCTCTCACATGCCATGTACCCACCCCTCCTGCCCCAAACTGCACCTCAGAGCTCTCACATGCCATGTACCCACCCCTCCTGCCCCAAACTGCACCTCAGAGCTCTCACATGCAGTGTACCCACCCCTCCTGCCCCAAACTGCACCTCAGAGCTCTCACATCTCTTCTCTCTCCTTTAGGAAGGACGGAGCCCACGGCCCATCCCTCTGCCTGGCTACGAAGTCAGTTTACCAGGTTCCGGTGAGAAGTTTGAAGTGAAGAACGTTTTTAAGCTTTGCCAGTCCCATCAAATTCTCTATTTCAGTGCAGAAGATGAAGAACTGCAGATGAAATGGATGGAAATTCTCACCAAAGCTGCCAAAGGGGAGACTGAGGATACAGCTGAAGGGCTCAGCAACCCTTAGAGCAAATTTCATTTAGTTTCTTTCATACATGCTATAAACCATCACTTGAATTTGGCATTCATGGCACTTTGGAATCTGTATGGCTTTATATTTTCATGTGTCTGCATAGGAAATTCAGTGGTTTCTCACCTTTCATTGTACATTTTTCACGTACAGTAGTTACCTGCCATATATTATGTTAAAGGAAAAAGTAGTTATAGTTGGTGGTGGTGGTGTCAATGCTGGTTTTAAAACAAAAGACAAGGAGCAAAGCATTCATTTTAACAGAGGTAATGGAATACCATCAGTCTTTTGTTTTCCTAAATGTATATTTTCCAGTCCTTTTGATTGCTGTTGAGTGCAGGATGTGTATAGTCTGTGATTAGTTCTATAAATGCTGCCTCTTAAGTTAAATGTTGTAAAGGCTTGTGCTGGCCACTGACATTCCATTTTCTGCCTCGCCCTCCTGGTAAGGTCTTTGTGATGTGTGAGCAATGTACTGAGTATTTTCTGGTTGCTAAAACCATGTCTCTGCTATTTTGAGATGACCTGTTCAAATGACAAATACTGTAGAACGGACTTCTAAAACTGACTGCAAATGGTGCAGAACAGAACATTAAGAAGCCTCATTGATTTTAAGCATTTATTATATTGATTGCTTTCTTCTGGAACCAATACCTTCCTTCCTTCTATTGGAACCCATTTTGATGTAAGTGAACAAACATTTTATACTGCAAACTGGGTTATGATCAATAAACAAGAACATTTTTAGTACACACCATACAAAAAGGTGACTTTTTTTGTTGTATTGGTTAATTTAAGTGGCCTAGATTTTGTTTATATAATTTGTAAATAATGTTTCATAAGTATTTTAAGAATTTTTAAAAGACCTCAGCTAATTAACAGGATTTAGTGCATAGTGTAAGAGATATTTGTATGAACTGAATTTGTAATTTAATTTTTCTGTTCACCTGTTTTTGTCTTATTTTCAAACATAAATGCTTATCTATTTAAATAAAAATTCCTGCAGTTAACTCCTGAGCCAGATTTCCAAGGCACAGCAAAGTTTAGGTCAACATTTAATATAGATTAAAAAAAAATTTATAAAAGTCCAAAACAAACCAAAAAAAAAAAAAAAAGGCATGGCTGTTCCTAGTGGTAGTAAGCATGTAGTATCACTCAAAATGAAATAAAATCTGTCACAGTACTGTATTTTTAAATGGTTTGGTTTAACTTTTGTTTCCTCTTCAGCCTTCCACATTTTCTGATATCGATAGAGAGGAAGAAATGCTCCATACAGAGAGTTTTTTAGGCTTGTTGAAAATTAGTGATCTGCATCAGTGAGTATTTTCTGAACCTACAGAAAACGACTTATCCTTGTTTGGGGTTTGGTTTATTTTTTACATTGGTGAATAAATCATATATCTGAAGTCCATGATGATAAAAAATTAGAGGTCATGTATTTGATTATCTACTGGAAAATTTTCTTGAGACTTGAATCTTTCCTCCCTACCCACCCCCTCCCAAGAGTCTACACAGAAAAAAAATTCTTGAAGAGTAGCTTTTACCATGAAAAGGAATTCTTTCCAGCATATGTTATTTCTTCTCCCAGGCTTCCTTGAAAGTATAATGATGTAGAGTGCTTGCCTTGAAAATTTCCTCATTTAGTAACATTTCTGGTTTGGAGGTGTGAGTTTTTATTTGGTTGGTTTTTTGTGTCTCATTCTATGAGTCTAAGCAAAACAAGGGAAATGTGCTTAGTGAACACTTTAACAAGCCAACATGCAATAATGCAAGAGCAAAGCTCTCTCCCAGAGCAGCCCCAGGCTGCAGGATGCTGTTGTAGAAGAGTCTGTTTTGGGCTGCATTGATTGACCAGCACAAGGTCCCAGAATACAGTGCTGTGAAATCACAATCAAATCCTCTGAGAAATCACTAGATGTCTCTGAAGGCTTGTCCTAAATTTACAGCAGGATCTAATCTTGTCCAGATCAAAGGCTGGAGGGACAGGACTTTTGTTTCATTCTCCTTCCTCATTTTCTCTCCTTTGGAAGGAAGTGGGAACTCCCAAAGCTGAAGAAATAGGTGTTGCTGACACTATTTGTCATGAAAGCTGTAAGCTTTAGACTTTCCTTTCTCATAAAAGCTGTTCTTCTGAGCTCAGCCTGCTTCTGTGCAGAGGGTTAGCACAGGGATTAAGCATCCCATAAATCCTACTTATGCCTTCGTATTAGTGCATAAATAAGATTTAAGCCACCAATAGCCCCTTTCTAGCTCTGTATAGAGCTGAATTATATATCTGCTGGCCATGATAAGACCAGAGGAAAAAATTCAGATGGGGCAGCAGCAGTTAAGTTTAACCAGGGGACTGAATTTTGATGAAGTGGGGATTAAAAGTACAATACCCATGGCTTCGGTGTCATGACATCAGCACATCTCAGAAAAGATGCCAAAATCTCACAATAAACCAAGAACCTTTTCTGTGCATGAGGGATGTGGCCTGTGGAGCTGCACCAGGTCCTCTCCACTTTGCTGCTTACAGCTATGAAGTAAAACACACCAGGTCTTTGTGACTGTGCCTGTCAGGTCAAGGCACCAGACCCTACCTGCCTCACAGCCACGACATTCCTGCTCTGAGCATGGCTGAGGCAGAATTAAACCAAGCTGTGGTGCTCTGGGCTCTCAGACACTGCAGGATCCCAGAATTCTGCTGTGTTTGGGAGCTAAATCTCAAAAATCTCTGAGAGCTTGCTTGGTTCTTCCTGTCAACATCTGGATAAACCTTTCCTTTGCTCCTCCAGGAGCTGCTGTCTCTCTCCAAGAGAGACAATCTCTTGCCTGAATTATACTGATATCTGTAATTTTTTTCTTTTTTTTCTGTAAATTGACAATCACAGATTAAGGGGTTTGAACAACCCTGGATTTGTTTTGGGAAGATTTCATTAACAAATCAATTATCTGTATTTAATCTCATTCCCACACATTTTTCATTCTGAGTACTTATTTATTAATTTTCTTATTCTGTTAAAATGTGGTGTTATACCCTCAGAAGGAAGAACTGGTAAAGGCAAAAATACAAAGAACTGGCAAGGGCAAGGAAAAAAGGCAGTGGCAGAGCAGACAGGGCCAGCCTCCAATTATTTATTTCCTTCCTAGAGCTGGGATGCACATTGGTGGGTGCTCATTTTGCAGGTGGTGAGCAAGTCTGGTGGTCAGGATGAGGAACACACATAATTACAACTGGGAGAGACGCAGCGTTCCAGAAATTATCTGGATCCAGTTGATCCACCTGCATCTTCTCCACCTACATTTGGCCCTTTGGTACTCTACAAGAGTCACTGCTTGGGGCTGAGGGGCTGAAGCTCAGCTGGGGCAGCCTCATCTCCTGAGGCTCAGGGAAAGAGGGGTGGGAGCAGGGCCAGCCAGGAGAGGAGAAAGGAGATCAGCTTGCTGCTGCTGGATGGCTGGAAAGCTGCCACTGCCAGGCTGGGGCTTGGGAGAGTGTCCCTGCTTGTGGGACATGCTGCAAGCCCTGCAGCTGCCCAGGCAGCTTTGCTGGGGACTGTCACTTCAGCTGTCTTGTGCCCTTGGCATGCCTGGAGCCAGCTCTAATAACTAGGATTTAAAGAATGGCAATGCCTTAGGGCAGCTTAGTGAAATCCAAACAATCCCTAAGCAAGAGCAGCAAGTGGCTGGGGCTGCATGGCTTCCCCTGATGCTGAAGGTGAAACCAGAGGCCTTGGAATTACGGAAGCACTCACCTGCAGCCAGGGAGGTGAGTGACATTCTGTGGGGTCACAGTGCCTGTGCTGTTCCCAGACATGTGGAGCAAAACCAAACCTTACAAAAAAGCAAAACCTTACAAAGCAAATCTGAATGCTGCCATGAGGTAAGTAGAATTCAGGTGCTGCTGCGTAATTTGCTTCTGTGAGTGCCTGTAAGGGAAGATTTGACTTGCAACACACTTGTGTTCAACTTGAGTTGTGTAACACCAGCTGCAGGGGTAGTGACTTACAGAAAAAACTACTTCTCTGTCTTTGGTATTCTTCTAGTTTCACTAGACTTGACTGGAGGAGCTGTAGTTCCTTGTCTTTAATTAGATTGATTCGTATTTGGCATTACTGGAAATACAAACCTAATTGATAAGCTGCAGCATTTTCAGAAATTCTGGGGTTTTGCTATAATATGACCAAGCATGGCTTTTTGAATGTGGTTCAGTTGCAGAGATGGAAATAGCAGTCCCTTTTATCTGCAGTACTCCTGAGGCCTCCCTGCTAGATAAGCTCACAGGAAAGAGTGCTACAGCTAGCAGCACACTGGGCTATGTCACCTTACATCTGGGCATGATCTTGCTCCATTTGGTGTTTCCAGAAGAGCCCTAAGAGGTATTTCAGTCTATTTGGGTTTGGCACACCTTGGAATTTCATCTCTCTAATCTGTTCCTTCTAATTCCAGGTGAAAAAAAGAATGGGAGGGTATAATAGTCCTAATAGCTCCAGTGCTTGGTGTGGGCCCCAGACTATAGGCTCAACACCAACACACAGAGCTGCTCCAGCAGAGCCTGGTTCCTTCTCTTGTTTTCTGTGGACACAGAAACGGTGCAGACCATTAAAGGCCTTTTTTGGACCCACTGCCAGTGTCAGCAAATCGAGGATCTCAACAAACACTGATGAGATCCAGACTCAGTGTGGTGATGCTGCCAGGGCAGTACGTGGCAGGGGGGCGACACGGCCAGGATGTGACAAGCACAAAATGACACACACGGCTCATGCGTTTGGGTTTCACCAAGTACCCTGTGCAGGTTGCCGAGTGCCACCCAGCTTCAGAGAGGATGATGGATCTGGGAACAATCCAGTGGGCTTAGCTGCAGTGATCCCAGTGAAAACAAACACAACTTTGTAGACCATAAACTGGATGTATACAAGAGATTCCGCTCCTGGAATATAACCACATGAAGAGCAGTAGACTGTTTGCAAGACCAGACCCATGAGAACAGGACTGGGGTGCCCACGAGCACCAGCCTGGCTTCCTCGGGGAGTGACAGCAGGCAAGAGAGGACAGGGCTGGCAGGGCTGGCAGGAAGGAGGGTGGGCAGCAGGGGACAGGCAGTGGGCAGGACGAGCAGGGCTGGCAGCAGGGGACAGGCAGTGGGCAGGACGAGCAGGGCTGGCAGCGGGGACCGGGCAGCCGGTGCCTGGCGCCGCGGGCGCTGCCGCATCCCCGCCGGGCCGCTCGTGGTGCCGGGGAAGGGCCGGGCCGAGCCCCGTGTCAGGGCACGGCGCTGTCCCGAGGCTCCCACGGCAGCCCCGAGCGGCCCCTCCTCTCGCTCCGCTGCCGCTCCTCCCCTGCCCCGCGGCTGCCCGGCTCCCCGGGCCGGGCTGTGCTGCGCTGCTGGGCCCGGCCCCGGCGGAGGCGGCGCCGTGCTGTGCTGTGCTGTGCTCTGCTCTGCTCTGCTCTGCTCTGCTCTGCTCTGCCCTGCCGTGCTGTGCCGTGCCGTGCCGTGCCGTGCCGTGCCGTGCCGTGCTCTGCTCTGCTCTGCTCTGCTCTGCTCTGCTCTGCCGTGCTGTGCCGTGCCGTGCCGTGCCGTGCCGTGCTGTGCTGTGCTGTGCTCTGCCGTGCTGTGCTGTGCTGTGCTCTGCCGTGCCGTGCCGTGCCGTGCCGTGCTGTGCCGTGCTGTGCTGTGCCGTGCCGTGCTGTGCCGTGCCGTGCTGTGCTGTGCCGTGCTGTGCTGTGCTGTGCCCTGCTGTGCTCTGCCGTGCCGTGCCGTGCTGTGCCGTGCCGTGCCGTGCCGTGCCGTGCCGTGCACCTGCCCTGCGGCTCGGAGCGGGG